AACATGTTTCTTTGAATTATATAAAGGTTAACCTTTTTGTTGTTGTAGTACATTTGTGTAGCTTTTTGTTGTTAGCACATTTGTGTATAAAGGTTAACCGACCTTTTTGTTGTTAGTACATTTGTGTATATCCTTTATATTGACACTTTTGTGAATCAATTATTTGTATACTAGATATTTGGTGCAATCAAATTAGATTTATGAGAAAAATATGAAACTAACGACCTAAATATGGTCTATGTGATGTTGCAAAACTATGAAAATAGCGACCTAAATGTGGTATATATGATGTGCACTATGAAAAATAGCGACCTAATTATGGTCTGTGTAATGTTGGAAAAATATGAAAAATTAGGTACCAAAAAAGATACAGGGAACGACTAAAAAATAGGCAAATAATTTATACTCGTAACAGTACTTTTTACATCGGGCGAAAGAAAAAACCGATGTAAAAAACTACCTTTTACATCGGTTTAACCACAGAACCGATGTAAAAAGTGTCAGCAATTTTTTCCTACAGTACTTTTCACATCGGTTGAACCAACAAACCGATGTAAAAAAGTGTCAGCATGAAAAAAAAAATTTCCTCCAGTACCTTTTACATCGGTTTTTCTCTGCAACCGATGTAAAAAACACCATTTTATAATTAAAATTTACAGTTATAAATTTTTTTTCACATCAGACTTAAAAATTTAACCAATGTGATTGGTGTATTTCTTACATCGGGCCACAAACCCGATGTAAAATGTCTTTGATTTATTACATCGCCTGGCTTTACATCGGACTAAGACCCGATGTAAAAAGTCAATTTTGCCCGATGTAAAAAGTCATTTCTGCACTAGTGTTTAGAGAATCAAGAGATCTGTTAATGATCATCTGTGTGTTCATAGAGGTGACGTGCTCGTAAGAGTCCATATGTCAATCAAACTTTGCCAAAGAAGGAGTCTTGAAACCTTCAAGGACATGTACTTCCTATATATTTCCTAAGAGGGGATGAGGATCTAGCTCTGCCATCTCCTGAGTGGGGTTAACCTTCTACTGGCACTGTTAAATGTTAAGGATGTTATCCTCCAAATTCTAATTTTGATGGTGCAACTCATACATGGTGGCGTGTATTTCTGCCATGGCATTGGGATCAGTGTTATCTCTAGTATCCTCCTACGTGGGAGATTGTGCCCTCCTAGAAACCATGATTGGGGATGATTAAAGCTTGGAGTGGAAACTTTGATGAATGTTAAGATGGTGGTAACAATGGACGATGTGGCCTAGGTCAGTTTTAGTGGGGTCTTACGGTGGACGACACAATACTTGCAAAAAAAAGTATAGATTCGTGTCACCCCTATGTTTGTAGGGGTGGATAGAGGCTTTAGAGATTTTGGGTGTTGCGGTAAGCTCAGGAAAGTGAGGAGCCCTGTTTCATTGGTGTTTTCTGTTTGGTTAAAGCAAACTCACAAGGGTGAAAACTCTACTAATGGGGGTATTTTTGGATAATAATCGTGTTGTCCTCTCAACCTTAATGTTGAGATATTTATAGAGGGCCTATAGGTCTGGATTTAAGGTTTCATAAGGAGTAGAAACTGTCTCTCCTTGATCGCAAGACTTGTTGATTGCCTACTTCTCAGAAAATCGTGAGCTTGACCACTTTCTTCACGTGGTTATGGATTGGATACATGTATCCATCCACGTTTCACATAAGGGTGAGCCTTATACTGATTGGAGATCATGCTTAGTCTACATATTTTGGGGCGGACACCTAATGCGAATTGGTTCCGTCTGCTTTATTGTGAGTCTTTTACAAATATATCACTACAGAAACGAAAAGTTTGATTGAATTGGATAACAATAGACACTATAAATATTTGTGCTAAAATTAAATTTTTTAAAAATTGTGGTAGTTTAGTAGTAATATCCTCGTTAACATTTTAAGGATGTTGGAGGTTTGAACCCACCTGCCACCAAAATCTTATTTTGAATACTTAATTAATTAATCTCTCAAAAAAAAATATATATAATCAAAAGAATTAATCAATTCATATATGAATAATTTAAAATTTTATTTATATTTATTTTAGGAATTTTTATTGATGGTGTTAATAACCATTTTATAACTATCATATGCATCATAAATTATATGTGATAAATTCAAGTTTCATATTTAAGTATGTTTTATGGTAAATCTAAATAAGTATCACAATAGAAAATAGATAACAAACCAAATTATTAATTTTTTAATAATTTTTTTCATAAATATTTTTCAATTTATAATAACTTAAAATATACTCAAACTACTTTTAATATTAGAGACGAGAAAGAAATAAAATTTTTATATTATCATATACATATAATACGAGATGGTCATTTTAAATTTAATAAATTCTTACATAAATAATAATACAATTAAAACATGTATTTGATATTTTTTATCATTTTATTTACACTATTTAATGTTATCAAAAAATTATTATGTCATCAAATAATTAACATGCATCATAAATTCAATTTCATGATTTTTCACCGAATCATTTCACCTATACCAATAAATGCATGATCTTCTTATGACATTTTAAGTATTAACTTTTATTTAATATTTAATATGCTTTTATTATAGAAAATATTTGAAATAAATATCAAAATAACACTTAAAATCAAATGATTGATTTATCTCATAAGTATATGTAAATAACTTTCTCATGAATAAATATATGATTTATTAGAAATTCTAATAGTTCTTTTACATTTATCATCTATTTATCTGAATATAATTTTTTTTCAACTTACTAAACATATCAATAACATCTTAATATATTTAATATCAATATTACTGAAAATAATTAATAATTAAAATAAATTACTTGCAAAAAGAGTAGTATTTAATATATACTGACAATCTTACTCTTCATCGTCACTTTGGAGGAATTCATTACTCTTGGGGGCCACCGATGATAGAAATGGTGTATTGGCGTTTCTTTTTATGGCCTTCTTCTTTGCTGCTAGTATCATTCCTTTGATTATGATCATAACTTTGATGGTTTTCTTTGGGGATTTCTCCATATGTGGGAACACTTCTTCTTCAGTGAACTTTCCCAGCTTCCCCGTTCCCCTCTTATTATCTCTAGTGTATTCATCCAACCGCTCTTTTTTGATTAATCATTCTATTACATGTTCATGTGGATGCAATCATTCATGTTATGGTCATGACTCATATGGAAATGAAAGTACTTAGAAGTCATTCATGTTATGGTCATGACTCATATGGAAATGAAAGTACTTAGACTTGTCTCTTTGGGAAGATTCCTCGATCATGTATGGATGCCTGATCCCCACATACTTGAACTTAGTGTTTGCACATTCCTTCCAAATTTTCTCTCTCATAGTATTCATGGGAGTATATGCGTTAAAATTGGATCAGAGATCACGTTCGCCTTCATCTTTATGACGACCACTGTCTTTCTCAAGTGCTCAATTGAGTCCGAATTTCCCGCTCTAAGGCTTTCTCTCTTATCCAAGATTTATTCTCCATAATTTATGTAAGGATGTACCCGAATCAATAAATCTTTAAAGTTATGAGCTTATTTGAGTCCTTGCTTGTCCTAGAATATACAATTCTACCTCAACCCTTTCTCGAATATCCAATATTTTAGCTTGTGATTCGTTTCTTTCATATAGAGCTTGAAATGAGTCGATTCAAGTCAAACTCACCTCAGCTCGACTCGACTCGTCAAGAATTTGTTCATCTCAAATCTCGGTTCGAGTTCGTCATAATTTTTTTAAAAACTGAAACTTGACTCGTTATAAGATTACTTAGTCCATAACCACATATGTTAAGGCATGCCCACGACTCCCTAGAAAGTAGGCAGCCAACAAAGTCTTCTAATCTTTGGGAGAACAATTATCACCTCTTAGGGTTTCTTGAATCTTAGACCCATGGAGTCTCTATAAATACCTCTCTTCCCCAAACAAAAGAGGAGACAAATCATCATACCCTTATCATAATGCTGAAACACACAAAGAGCTTCTCACCTCATGTGAGTTGTCTCTCTCTCCTTATCGTAAACAATACCAAACAGAGTCTCTCACCACTGTGAGCAAGCCCTAACCACATTTAACTAATAAAACTTTTAGGTATCATCTATATTCGCATAGAGATAACACACACTTCTGTATTTTTTTATAATGAATCGAACCAATAAAAAATGTATATACCTTATTTTTCATATAATGTAATTTAAGACATAATATATTTCAACAAAAAATTTGGATATAAAAATTTAGTGGTCATTGAACCACTTTGAATATTTACCAAACTTCTCACAAAAGACAATTGAAACGGAGACTTTTGCATTTTATGTTGTTCTTATATTAGTCTTCGCCATCCTAAAATGAAAGATCTAAAACACATTATAAAAGTTATATTAACTAATAAGTTTTTTTTATTCATAAATTAAATATGTTAAAAAATACTTTTATTAAAATATCATGATTTATACATTTACTTTTATCATAAATACAAAGTGAAATATATTACATTTAGAAAGATGAAACTAAGTAAACATAAATTAATATTATATTAAAATTTGAAGCAAAAATAACAAGTCATTTAAAATAATTTTTGTCAATAATCATTTAATTTGAGAGAAAGATAGTATTGTAAAATAAGAAAAATGGTCCATATACAACAAAAAAGAAGTGGTCCATGTGCAAGTCTTGGCTAGCCTAATAAGGAAATAAACAAAAGTGTGTAAGACAAGTCATTAAAAAATGAAATTGACAACATGGATTGGTAGATGAGATGAGATAATAATCTTGCAACTAGTTTCCACGCCGAAATTGGAATTATTCATAATTTGTATTTTCATAGATAGCCACAAATCCATTATCGTCACGTGTTTTTGATAATCAAATTAAGTTGTCAATATCAACAGATCTCACGGTTCATTATAGGTGTTGTTCTTCCTGAATATAGATATTATAAATAAATGCAGTTAATATACTGTTTCATGATGATGGATTTGTTGAAGAAGCCATTTGTTCACCAATCTTTCATCATTAGTAATACTGCATTTTCTTCATCCTTTAAGGGTAGGAAAGATATGATTTGTCATAACAGAAGCAATTGGTTTTTGAAACCTTCTATAGTCAAAGAGGGTTGTATAAGAAAGTGTGTTTCTCCTAAGTTCGTGAGAGTAGTGATGGCAACAACAGATATAATGTCTCATACTAATGTGAAAGCTTTAGTGAGTGTGAAGCAAAGTGATGGTGGCATCATCAATAATATCGTTACTGATATTGTTGGTAATAGTCACTTGGTTTTGGAGCTCGTTAGTGCTGACCTTCATCCAAGTAAGTTTATGTCCTAATTCAATGTTTTTTCTCGATTGTATTTTCCCAAGGATGGATAAATACTATAGTGGCATATAGTCGCAATTCCATGGTTTATAACAATGTTAAAATTATTTGATTTTTTATAAAGTTTTTATTGAGTCATATAGACATATACATAGAGAAAAACATAATTTTGTATTTAATTATTCATATATTATCAAATAACAATAAAACTAATTATATTTGGACAACAATTTCTCATTTAATATATAAAAATTATATTAGACAAAAATGAAATAATAAATATATAACAATATCAAAAATGAAATAAAAACAATATAAATAAAAGATAAAAAAAAATGCAAAAAACTTTCTCTCTCTCTCTCTCTTGCATCCTCTAACGATCTTCGACGAGTCAACGTTCTTTTTCCGGCGAATTTGTCCAAGCGTTCCAAGAGTTGATTGACGGGTTTGAAACCATATCTGGATGGTTCAAATTCCTAGTTTTAGGACTAAGGACCTTCCTGGTGTGTTTTTGAATCAGGATATTAGAGGAATATGGGTCGAGGAAGGGGAAGACCTAAGAGGAACAAGGTGCCTTCTCCGTCGATCTTATCCACCCTCTTGCAACAATAGAGTACGTAATGAAGATTCTGAGAGAGGTTCAACTTTGGGTGCTGACCCTGACTCTGTGAAGAGACCTGACATACAAAGATCCATAAAAATACATAGAGAGGAAGAAAGAAGAACACAAATCTCACGGTCTGTCAACTTCGATTGAAGTGGATTCGACTCCGGATTGTCAAGATGCACCCCCCAATGTTGTTTCTAAGCTAAATCTACTCAAGAATGTGTTTGATGAAGTTGGGGTAAAAAGTTCCCAAACAACATAACCTAAAAATGCTGAACAAACGACTTAAATAGGCAAAATGGGTTTCCGTGTTCGCCTAGCGAAGTCCCGTTCGCACAGCGAACTTATGCATCTTTCACTACTGTCAAAACAGTGTTTTTCATGTGTTTTAGAACTTTTTGTTCGCATCACGAACATGACAGCACTTGTTTTGACCATAACTTTTAAATCGTAACACTGTTTTACGCGCGGTCGGAAATGTCGGAAAGCTTATTCAATGCTCTATAAGACAATGACAAAATATCATTGCTTATATACCTACAAAAATGAGAGAAAAACAATTAAGCTCAATCATATTTACATGATACGCAATATATACATTATAACGTAAACTATACAACATATGCACAAAAGTTGAGGTTTATTGGTTGAATTAAGCAAATAAATGCCAATTATTTACACTCAAAATCACTATAATTTAGCACTTATCAACTCTCCCCAACTTAAACTTGTTTTTCCTCAAACAAGAATCAATCAACTCAAGGAAACAAAAGTAACAATAAAGCAATCACGACTCAATAAGTTTCGAAAAACAAAAACAAATGTATGGTTCAAAACAAAAACGTACATGCAAAGAAAAACATACCACTAAACTACAACGATAACATGAAAACGAAACAACTCCTAAATACAAAACACATGTCAAAAGTTCTAAGACAACACAATGTTCAAAAATGAATCACACCTAACACACACTTCATCGGTAGATGAATAAAAATATATTAGGGGCTTAACTCTCACCCAACAATCAAGCCAATAACAAGTTAAATTATCTATTCATCAAGAAAAAACTCACATTGAACAGTATAAAAGCAAAAATCACAAGGGCTTTAAGGGTTGTAATATGGCTTGGGTAACAAATAATTGTTTTCTCAAGGTAAAAGAAACAAAAACTTGCCTAATCAAATGAGAGTGATCATTTCTCACAATCTCAAGCACTCACAAATTCCAATCACCTTTTTCTCTTTTCCAAATTTTTACACCATTCTACACAACTTATTAGCATAACATTATTCTTTTTTTTTTCTTTTTTTTTCAATTCTTTTCCTTTTTTTCTTCTTTTTCTTTTTCATTTTTTCTTTTCTTTATTTTTCAAACTTTTTTCTTTTTCTCAACCTCTTAGAAACCAACCTTTTCTCCCCAACTTGAATACAACCACACATAGTGGCATGAATGCTACCAAACTTATTAGGCAAGGGTAAAAGCTCAAATAATAAGTCATGGTTAAAGTTCAAGAAAAAGTATTAGAATCCATACAAAAATGAACTTAACACCAACATGGATTCTATCAAAGGCTCAAAGGGGTAAGAAAATTCTCACTCACTCACAAGGTAGATTGACTATTTAGTCAAGTGGGTATGCTCAAAATCAAACAAAATGTCTTGATCATTTTAGTGCTATCATACAAATCAACACAAATACAAGATTAAACATAATAAAACCGAGTTAAACAAAAATGTTGGTCTCCTGCATATAGTAAACAATGGAAAGCTCCTCACAAAAAAGTTTTGTTCTAAAGTGATTCAAAACTGAACAAGTATGGCAAGAGAATGAATGACATGAAAATTGTACAAATGAAAAGTCTCCTAATCATGCTATGTTCTAGAAAGCGATAAACGAGTATCTTGCAAAGTACCGACTTCAAATAATATCAAAACCATACATTCGCAAGTTGAAACGATCAAACGTGGAAAATCACAAAATTCATCCTCAAGCTAATCAAAAACAAACTTGAGAGCAAACACCAACATTATTCTAACAACCTAACAAAACTGAATTAAAACTAATGAAACATAAAGACCAAAATTGGTGAAAGTGGATGGAAAATGAGAGATTTGTCTTTGCAAAACAAGCGCAGGCAGGAAAACTTCGATTTTCATATTCTTTTTCTCACATGTGGTCAATTCATTTTCACTTTATATTAACTATACTACTAAATATAAAACTATACAAACTCAAAAACCGTTGGATTGCCTCCCAACAAGCGCTTGTTTCACGTCGTTAGCTCGACACATTTATTGTTCTTTGCTAGTAACTTCCTCACATACACGCTGATGCTTTGTCAAAGCGCCAACCTAAAGAAAGTGTCCTAACCAAACACTTGAACAAACGTTACGAGAACAAAATATATACAATACTTGAACAAAATAATGGAAGACAAAAGTAAAACAAGTATCTATACAAGCATATATACAATTATGTGCAAAGCTTAGAAATATAGAAACTATCGCAATGCGACTAAATATCAAAATCAATCCCCGACAACAATGCCATTTTGTTGAAGTGGTAAAAGCGGCAAGCAAAAATATTATTTTCGAAAGAATTTCCTCCGGGATTTATGTCGTTTCCATTGGGATCAGTGTGAGGGAAAGAATGACGTTCGAAAATCTCTACGTCTCTAAGCTTGGGTTTGAATGGTTTGGGATAAAAATGTAAAAGGAAAAACATAAAACAAGAAAGTAAATACATTCTTAAGAAATCAGAAAACTCGTCAGGAGTTATATTTCGTTTCACCCATCATGTACTAAAAAATATATGGATCAAATGCACGCAACCTAAATCGCTCGTCAATATCATCACGTATCGCTCACAACAGAGGTTATGTCTAACACAAAGTCGAAAGATCAACCGTATCGTCTCATCGGTGATGTCTCACGCAACTCGACAACACGGAGCATTAAGAATCGATACCCGCGTGAATATTAGCCCTAAATTTATGTCTAGAGTTTAGAATCTAACAGATGTTCATCTTAGATCGAGTTTGAACCGTATATGTCTATAGCAATCCAAATCCATTAAGTAAAAAATCAAGATAACCATCGATAAAGAATTGTAAAAGAGATTTTATAGAAAGATCCATAAATATACATACAATCAAGATAAACTTACATATAAAACCCCAACAAATGAAAAATACATAGAGAGGAAGGAAGAACACAAATCTCACGGTCTGTCAATTCCGATTGAAGTGGATTCGACTCTGGATCGTTAAGATGCACCCTCCAATGTTGTTTCTAAGCTAAATCTACTCAAGAATGTGTTTGATGAAGTTGGGGTAAAAAGTTCCCGAACAACATAATTTAAAAAATGCTGAAAAATGACTTAAATAGGAAAAATGAGTTTCCGTGTTTGCCTAGCGAAGTCCCGTTCGCACAATGAACTTATGCATCTTTCGCTACTTTCAAAACAGTGTTTTTCACGCGTTTTAGAACTTTTTGTTCGCACTGCGAACATGACAGCAAACCAACACTTGTTTTGACCATAAATTTTAAACCGTAACTTTGTTTTACGCGCGGTCGGAAGCGTTGGAAAGCTTATTCAATGCTCTATAAGACAATAACAAAATATCATTGCTTATAAATCTAAAAAAATGAGAGAAAAACAATTAAACTCAATCATATTTACATGATACACAATATATACATTATAACATAAACTATATAACATATGCACAAAAGTTGAGGTTTATTGGTTGAATTAAGCCAATAAATATCAATTATTTACACTCAAAATCACTACAATTTAGCACTTATCACTGTCAGCATAATCCATCTAATAAATTGGTGAGAAAAACCTAGCTCATTCATAATAGCCTCTAGGGAAGTGTGGATGGACATCCTAAAGTGGCTTCAAGTTGTGCACAAACTTGGGACCTGATTTGATGAGATAGTTTGGGCGAGTAGAATTAGCAAATCAAAGAGGCTTAGGTGTAAAATTATCAGTTGTGCTCTAGCTGAAACTCTCTGAGTTATGGAGATTTAGAAATGATAATTTTTTTGATAATGATTGTAATAAGGACAAAGTGGGTGATAGAATCATAAACAAGTGTATAGATGTTGGATGAAAGCCAACCTTAAAAAATCATAAGTAGTTTACTTATGCCTTAGGTTTTGTCTTTGGTTGTTTTTGTCTGTTTGTGTGGCTGGATCCCTCTGGGATCGCTTTGTGCTCCTCTCTTTTTTGGTTAATAAAGTTATTTTATTTTCAAAAAAAAAATGAAATAAAAAAAATAGAGGAGATGGAAGATTATCCAAAGATGAAAAAAAGAACATAGTCGAAGAAAGTATTAAGTAATTCTAATTTGTCTCTTTTTATTATTTAATAAATGAAGAAACAAAGTCGGAGAAAGAAACTATAAAAGCACATGCACATGAAACTCAGAAGAACGAGAACGATGTACAATTTGAGACAACATTTAAGTTACCTGCGGATTTCGGAAATGTCGGTGCTGTTTTGGTTCAAAATGAACACGACAAAGAAATATTTCTAAACAACATAGTCCTTGATGGTTTCCCAAATGGCCCCATCCACCTTTCTTGTCAATCATGGATTCAACCAAACCATAGTGATTCTCCTACTGAGAGAGTTTTCTTCACTAACAAGGTACTACTAATGATGATGATGATGATTATTATTTTAAAGTTTCATCATAATGTTATGTATAATTTGTTCTTAGTTTTATATATCCATGACTAAATTTAATTTGTATGCTATTTTGATGCATGTAATTAATGAATTTATAGATGTATTTGCCATCACAAACACCTAGTGGATTAACAAAGCTAAGAGAAAATGAGCTCAAAGAATTAAGAGGGAATGGTGAAGGTGAAAGAAAAAAATCAGACAGAATCTATGACTATGATGTTTACAATGATCTTGGCGATCCTGACATCAGCACTGAACTCAAAAGACCTGTTCTTGGTAGCACAAAACAATATCCTTATCCAAGACGATGTCGTACCGGTCAAACACATTCTGATGTAGACCAACTGTATGAAAAAAGGAGCACTTTAGATTTCTATGTTCCGCGTGACGAGTCATTTTCTGAAACAAAGCAGACACAGTTCAATGCTTCTACCATATCCTTAGGCTTGACTACTATTATACAATCGTTAGACTCTATTCTCACTGACTTAAAGCTTGGGTTTGCAAGCTTTGAAGACATTGATGCAATTTATAAGGAAGGATTTCAGTTACCAACTCTTGAATCCAATGACTCAACAATTCTCCAAAAAGTCATTCCAAAGTTCATTAAGGATGCTGATGATAGTAAAGATATTTTGCGCTTTGATACCCCGGAATCGTTCAAAAGTAAGTTAATCATATATTTGAAATGTTATTTGATATGTACTTAAATTTGATATTACTAAACATGCTTACTGCATTGCCTTGATACCCCGGAACTGTAGGGGATAGATTCTTTTGGTTTTCAGATGTGGAGTTTGCCAGAGAAACTTTGGCCGGTGCCAACCCATATGGCATTGAATTGGTTAAGGTATGAATATATTGCGTCAAATATTCACTTTACTCCTTTTACAATATTTATATCTATGTGCAATGACTTAAATAATTTTTTTCTCTGATAGGAATGACCTTTGATAAGTAAACTGGACGCCCAAATCTATGGTCCACCAGAATCTGCAATTGGCAGAGAAATCGTTGAGTCACAAATAACTTATAGTACAGTTGAACAGCTACCAGAAATAGCAATATTTTAAACTAAATTTATCATGTGTAGTGCTGAAAAAATTATTGAATTCAACACTACAGGCTATTAAAGAAAAAAAGCTGTTTGTGCTAGACTATCATGATTTGTACTTACCATATGTAAGCAAAGTGAGAGAGCTTGAGGGCACAACACTATATGGATCAAGAACACTATTCTTCCTCACTAGCGAAGGCATATTGAAGCCACTAGCTATTGAGCTCACTAGACCGATTATTGATGGCAAGCCACAATGGAGGCAAGTCTTCACACCTGATTCTGATACCACCAATCTCTGGCTTTGGAGGCTTGCCAAAGCTCATGTTCTTGCTCATGATTCTGGTCACCACGAACTTATAAGCCATTGGTGAGTACTAACTTAGGTTGTTTAAGATGTTCTGTTCAGCTTAACTAGTACTAACTTTGTAATATGTTAAATGTATTTACAGGCTAAGAACTCATTGTGTTGTTGAACCTTTTATAATTGCAACACACAGACAACTCAGTTCCATGCATCCGATTTATAGACTATTGCACCCACATCTGAGATATACCATGGCGATCAATAAAGTTGCTCGCGAAGTGCTTATTAATGCAAGTGTGCTCCTTGAATTATCATTCACTCCTAAAAAATATACAATGCAGTTAAGCTCTGTGGCATATGATAAGCTTTGGCAATTTGATTTGCAAGCACTTCCAAATGATCTTATTAATAGGTAAGGTTTATACAGATGATGAATATTATGCTATGAAGCACTGATACTGACACATCACTCACAACATACTTATGGAGGCTATTTCATGTGTTCATTAGACATGCTTTCAATCTGAAGTGTCGTGATATTTAGATATTAAAATTGTTTGTGTTTCCTTTTTTTTTTTTGAAAACCACATTGAATATTAACTTGCTCATGCAAATTGTTATGAATGGCTGTGGAAGATCCTAATGCACAACATGGAGTAAAGCTAACAATTGAAGACTATCCTTTTGCCAATGATGGTCTTTTAATATGGGATGCAATTAAACAATGGGTCACAGATTATGTCAATCACTACTATCCAAGCTCAAGCACTATAGAATCTGATCAAGAGCTCCAAGCATGGTGGACAGAAATTCGAACAAAGGGTCATGCTGACAAATCTGAAGAACCATGGTGGCCAAATCTTAAAACACAACAAGATCTTATTAACATCGTTACCAATATAGCCTGGTCAGCATCGGCTCATCATTCAGCTGTGAACTTTACGCAATATACTTATGGAGGCTATTTCCCTAATAGGCCAACCATTGCTAGAATCAAAATGCCTACAGAAGAGCCTACAAAGGAAGAATGGGAAGCATTTATGAACAAACCAGAGGAAACACTTTTGGCGTGTTTTCCATCGCAAATTCAAGCAACCTTATTTATGGTTGTTTTGGGCTTATTATCAGAACATTCACCAGATGAAGAGTACATTGGACAGAAAATGGAGCCATCTTGGGGTGAGAATCCAACTATAAAGGAAGTTTTTGAAAGGTTTCATAGGAGATTGAAGGAGATTGAAGGAATTATAGACTCAAGGAATGAAGATAGGAATTTGAAGAATAGACATGGAGCTGGCATAGTGCCTTATGAGTCATTAAAGCCATTTTCAGGACCTGGGGTCACTGGAAAAGGTGTCCCATACAGCATATCCATTTAAAGCTAGGTACTTTAATTAAGCCTGAATATAATTAATCAAATGTTATGTGTTTTGGTTAGTCCTTCCTTAATAAAAATAATTGCACAAGAGAACAACAAAAAATCAGCACAAGAACTCTACATATACTACATTTTTTGTGCGAGATTTTTACTGTTTGTAAAAAATCCATATCAATTTGTTGTTCATTGAAGAAGGAATAAATGTGCAAGTTATAAACATTTGTCTCACACCTAATATCTATTTTGAATCTACCGTTAGAAGTGCTACTTATTTTGATCTTTTATGTTTTTAATAATTCATTGTTCTCATTTAGGTTTAGTAATTAAAATCAAATAGAGTGATGGCAGCATTATTTTAATCGTTCGTGTTGGTTGAAAATATATATTTTGAAAAAATTTCAAATTGTCTAGTATTGAAAATATATAGTATTAGGTCCATACGACATTAGTGTGCCCAATTTTGTGTGATTTCAATCTTATTAGTAGCTCTATTCGTTGTTATGTGATGTGCTCTTGGTTCAGTGTTTAAAATTAGCGTATTCTGTTTTCAATGACATGCACACAGATATAGTTTTAAACTTGAATCTATATTCAAATATTTCTTGTGGTGGGAAAGAGAATAAATGGAAAATAAACTAAGTGAAATGGGATAGGATTTGCAAGCCTGTCAGTGAGGTAGGCTTAGGAATTAAAAACTTGAGGGTTTTTAACGACGTTCTTTTGGATAAATGGGGTGGAAAATCAGACATTAGAAGAGTGACATGTGGTATAGAGCGTTGGCTTGTAGATATGGTGAGAATGACAGTTTTTTTAATTTAAACAATGGAACTGGTTCGTTGTGGTGAAGAGGTATCCAATACTTGGATATAGCTGCCATATGCTGAAGAGTGTTCGGTTAAAGAGTGTTACAATGTAATGATGCTGGAAAATAGGATAGAGCCTAATGGTTGGTGGTCAAAGGTTTGGCACAAAGCGATACCCTCAAAAGTGTCTTGCCTCTATGGAGAATGCTCCATAATAAGCTGTCAACTAAAGACAACTTAGTTAAGAGAGGTGCTATCAGACTCGATTCGCAATGTTGGTGGGTGTGGTATAGTGTCCCACTTTTGAAGGTATATGGTATATGGTTTGCATCTGGCTCGGTATATCCACAGTATTTCAAAGTGAATGCCTGTCTCATCTTGAGAAATTCGAAGCTCGACTTGGGAGTGGAAGGTCCTGTGCAAACATATTAAGTGTGGTGTGGTTTGCTTGAATTTGGAACATATGGAAAGCAAGATACATTAAAGTTTTCAATAACAAAGATGTTTCAGTGGAGCAAGTGTTTGAATCAGCACAAAGGAATTCATGGAATTGGCTAAAGAACAAATCTAAACGGTTAGTATGTTGTGTGTCCCAATGGTATTTGTCCCCTAAAATCTACTTCGAGTAAAAGGTCTGAAGGGGGGGGAGTTCAAGGAGTTGTACGTTGGTGTTCATAGCAGCAGTTCAGTTACATTTTTTGCAGGCTGAAACTTTGGATGGTCTCCTGGATGATAAACTGAGTATAATGTGGTTCTGGTTTTTTGCGGTAATCTAGCAGTCCCAAGACAGTGATTTTTCTATGTATCTCCTTTGAGTGTTTGTATTGAAATTGATATATGTTGGTAATCTAGCAGTCCCAATAAAAGTAATATCATCTAAGAGATTCAAGAAAAAAAAATACAACTTCAAACAAAAAATTACTCTAAAAACAACAAAAAATAATTGTAAAAATGTGATATATGAGTTATTGTAGTAGAATTAATGAAACATCTGATCCATGATTACAAAATAGATATGACTTATAGTTGCAATAAAATTAATGAAACATTCGTGATTACTAAATAGAAATGACTTATTGTTGTAATAAAATTAATGAAACATGTGATCCATGATTACTAAATAGATATGCTATATGGAACTCCCTTTCCAGTAACTCCAGGTCCTGAAAATGGTTTCATTAGCTCATAAGGAATTATCCCAGCTCCATTCCTATTTTTCAAGTTACTATCTGCATTTCTTGTGTCTATTATGCCTTCGATTTCCTTCAATCTCCCATTGAACTTTTCAAATGCTACCTTTATAGTTGGATTCTCAGCCCATGATGGCTCAATGAGTTCTCCCAAGTACTCTTCATCTGGCGAATGATACGATAATAAGTTCAAAATGGTCATCACCAAAGTTGCTTGGATTTGTGATGGTAAGCATTCCAAAAGTGTTTGCTCTGGTTTGTTGATGAATTTTTCCCATTCTTCCTTTGTAGGGTCTTCTGTCGGCATTTTGGTTCTAGCAACTGTTGGTCTGTTAGGAAAATAGCCTCCGTAAGCATATTGTGCGAAGTTTGTAGCTGAATGATGAGCAGATGCTACCCAAGCTATGGTGGTAATGATGTCGATAAGGTCTTTTTGTGTTTTGAGTTTTGGCCACCATGGTTCTTCTGACTTGTCTCCGTGACCCTTTGTTCGAATTTCTGTCCACCATGCTTGAAGCTCTTGATCAGATTCTATGATGCTAGGACTTGGATAGTGATGATTGACATATTCTGTCACCCATTGTTTTATAGCATCCCATATGAGAAGACCATCATTCGCAAAAGGGTAGTCTTCAATTGCTAGCTTTACTCCATGTTGTGCATTAGGATCTTCCACAGCCATTCCTCTAAAAAGATAATTTCCATGAGCAGAAGTTAGTATACAATATTTAACACGATTTTAAACTGCGGTCTGTAACCGCAATATAAAGTATTTTGAGGTTTCTGCAACGTTCCGTAGCTGCAATTCCGACCACGTTTTATGTAGGATATAGATCTATAGACTTTACCTATAAATAAGATCATTTGGTAGTCCCTGCAAATCAAACTGCCAAAGCTTATCGTATGCCACAGCCGATAATTCCATTGAATACTTTTGAGTAAAGAATGAGTCTTCGATGACACCATAAGCACTAATAAGAATCTCACGACCGAGTGCGTTTATCTCCAAAGTATATCTGAGATGTGGATGAAGCAACTTGTAGATTGGATGCATTGTGCTAAGTTGCCTATTTGTTGCGATCACAAAGGGTTCTACAACACAATGAGTCCTTAACCTATAAAAATCAACAAATTCCAATATATAAAGTTAGCACTAATATATACTCACTAGACTATAGTAACAACTAATATGATTGAATTGTACTCACCAATGGCTTATAAGTTCATGGTATCCAGTATCGTGTGCAAGAACATGAGCTTTTGCAAGCCGCCAAAGCCAAAGATTCGTCGAATCAGAAGCAGGTGTGAAGATTTGTTTCCATTGCGGTTTGTCACCAATAATCGGTCTAGTAAGCTCTATAACTAGTGGCTTTAATGTGCCTTGTTTGGTGAGGAAGAAGAGTGTTCTTGATCCATACAGTGTAGTATTCTCCAATTCCCTCACTTTGCTTACATATGGTATATATAAATCATGGTAGTCTAGCATGAACAATTTCTTCTCTTGAATGGCCTGCATGTACTCGAATCAAACGATTTTAATCATAACATAATCTAATATAAATGTAATAAAATCATTGATGCTTAGTAGTTAATACCGCTTCAATTGTGGTATAACCAATTATCTGCGACTCGACGACTTCTCTAGTGATTGCTGATTCTGGTGGACCATATATATTGGAATCTAATTGACTTCTTATAGGCCATTCCTACACAATAATTACACCGAGAAAAAATTAATAAATTTTTTTCCCAGTCATAGATGATGTTACTCTAAAAGTAATAGAAAATTTTTGCGACAATTTTTGCCTTGAGTAATTGGATGCTATATGGATTGGCCCCTGCCAATGTCTCCCTTGCAAATTCCTCATCAGATAGCCAAAAGAATTTGTCTCCTGCAATTCAAAAAGTTCGTAATTCAAATAACTTGTAAAGCAAGTAATGTAATAAACATTTGGTTGATTACTATCGATAAATTTTAAAAGAAGTAAATGTGCTTACTTTTAAGTGCTTCTGGTGTATCGAATCGCAAAACATTTTGGCTATCGTTTGCAGCCTTAATGAACCTGGGAATGACTTTTTGGAGCAAATTTAACTTATTGGAATCAAGAGATGTTGGTAACTGAAACCCTTCTTTGAAAAGTATGTCTATGTCTTCAAAACTATCAAATCCAAGATCTATATCAGTGAAAATAGTATCCAAAGATTCCAAAATTGTTTTTACTCCTGACGAAACCGTTGTTGCGTTGAATTGTATCTTCTTTATCTCAGCAAATGCCTCGTCGCGAGGAACATAGAAATTCAAATCTCTCTTTTCATATGATGGATCTATATAACAAAAACAACAAAACCTTATGTTATATGCTTAGTAGCTTACATGTTCAAAATACTGAATCTCTCTTGTAGAACACATATTATGATAAAAAAAAACAGTGGCAAATGATTGTAGATAACCTGTATTAGAATGCTTTCGACCGGTACGACAGCGTCTAGGATATGGATACTGTTTGTTGCCGCCAAGAACAGGCCTTTTGAGTTTACTGTTGATATCAGGGTCCCCAAGATCATTGTACACATCATAATCATAGATTCTGTCTGAGCTTTTTCTTTCACCTTCACCATTCCCTCTTAATTCTTTGAGCTCATTTTCTCTCAGCTTTCTTAATCCACTTGGTGTTTGTGATGGCAAATACATCTATTAATTAATTCATACAAATTAAAATCAACATAGTGTTATGATGATATTTTATCATTATCAAGATTATTAGTACCTCGTTCGTGAAGAAAACTCTCTTAGTAGGAGAATCATGCATTGGTTGAACCCATGATTGACAAGAAAGATGAACAGGACCACCCGGAAAACCATCAAGGACTATATTCTTTAGAAATATCTCACTGTTGTGTTCATTTTCAACCAAAACAGCACCGACATTTCCAAAATCCGCTGGTAACTCAAACGTTGCTTCATATTCCACATCGTTATCTTTTTTATCAGTCTCGTGTGCTTTTCC